CAGTCATTTTAAAAAAATAAATAAATAAAAATAAAGTCATTTCCCTTTTAGGGAAAGGCAATCCTCAAGAACATCTGAAAGGTCATTGTAAAGAATTTTCACATCATTTGACACATAAAACCACTTAGCTTCAAACACAGTTGGATTCTAGCTGGACAGCGCTAATGGAGATGACTGGGGCTTCATCTTTTGAAATGATCTGTGAGTTTGTGAGTCCTAAGAAAGTGGTTAGGGCTCATTGTAATGTCATCTCTGCCACCTTTCATTTGGATCCTGCCCATCATATTAATGCCTCCTGTGAGGTAGCAGGAGGCTTTTGAGCAGTAATCAAAGCTTTTTTGAGTGAGGGAATGTTCAGGAGGCTGCGTTCTTGGCTCAAGAAGCATTCATTTAACTTGACTATTTTAGAAAATTTTAGATCTGTCTCCTTCTTAGGGAAGGTTATAGAGAAAAATGATGGCCTGGAAACTTCAGAGAAGTCTAGAAGAGGATTATTTGGGCCCTTGGCAGACAGACCTCCAGGTTTCAGCTGGAGTACACCTCCTGCTCCTTGACTTCTTAGCTGCTTTCAATATCATGGATCATGATATCCTCCTGAACCACTTCCTTGGACTAGAGTGGGGAACACGCTTTTGCAGTGGTTCTTCTCCTTCTTGAGGGGACAGCTCCAGTCAGTAGTGTTGGAGGAAGAGGACAGGTTTGCCTGGAAACCTCTTTTTTGTGGAGTATCTTAGGGTTCTCTACTCTCTCCATTTCTTTTTAATGTCTGTATGAAACTGCTAGGGAAGATCATCCATCAGCACAGCATTTGATATCATCAATATGCTGATGACACCCAACTATACATCTTGGCCCTGGGCCAAAGAGGCAACATGGTAGAAGTATCTGGAGACTGTCAGGGACTGGTGGGGAGGAACAGATTTTGACTGAATTCCTCCAAGGCTTTGGGTTTTTGGACCTAACCATTCCGGAGAAATATCATCTTTGACTCTGAATGAAGTTCTGGGCATTTTTTATCACTACATCCATACCTTATAATTCCCTCCCCTCAGAGATCTGGTGTACTTCTTTCCTCTTGGATTTCAGGACAGTACTTAAGACCCAGTTGTTCCATCCAGCACAGGAGAAGGGCCTGTTGCGAATGAAGAATGGAATCTGGTGGGTATATTATTTTGTATATTCCATGTTTATTATTTTGATGTTATTGATTTTGTTCATATTGTGCATAGGTTTATTACTTCTGGGCCTTTTGTTTTATGCTGATGCTGATTATTAGCCAGCCAGAGCCTGTGGGAATGGGAGATGTACAAACAGAGTAAATAAATAAATGATAGAAGTGTTCTGGCTCCAACTGCACATTGAGTTCTATGATTCTTTGGCTTTTCTTTCTTTTTTTAAAATGCAAAGTAACCTAGGCAGACTATAGTTGGAGCAGAAGAAAATTGGAAGGGGAGAGGCTGCTTAACCTTTTCCAGCTCAAGATCACTTTGTCCAAATTGCATTCTTAATCTGTACAGGTCAAGATACAGGAATTCTGTATGGTTCCCTTTCTTTTTTCAAAAATAAAACACATAGCTTGCAGATAGCAATTCTGAGATGGAAAACAAAGAACATTGTTAGTTAGCCAGTCTTTAGCTGTAGGCTGCCTTCAGCTGCTTAACTTTTTTTTTTTTAATGCAGAAGAAAATATCACACAATTTTGCATAATGCATAGCTTGATTTAGCCTCTACAAAAATCATTTAAAAGTCAGGCTACTTCATGTCTTTGCTTAGGCAAAATATTTTCCTGGGAACCACGAGGAATGTTAGGAATTCCAGAAATGTTTGGTATACAACAACAACCTGTGCCACACACATCGCATGGCATTTCCCCACTTTGTCCTTTTCAGAAACTGTGATCTCTCTCCCATACCACCTGACTTAAAAGAGAAGGACTTCATCCCCCCAATTCCCCATTATTCCATTTCTAAGATTAAGCAGAAATTGGCCTTATTTGTTACTTATTTGTATTCACCATGGTCTTCACAGTACCTTATCTTCATGAAGACAAAAATATTATAAGCCTTTTCACATAACAGGTTTTATTTCATTAGGATTACTGGCTTTTTCACAATTAAAGCAGAATACCTTCAGACAGTAACTATATCTATATATGTCACACCATATGTAGAGTATACATCAGATCCACACAACTTGTCAAAGGGAAAGGGCCACAATGCAAATTAAAAATCCTTGTGAGCCGCAAAGTAATACCTGGAGTGCCATTCAGCTGTTCTGTGGCTAGCAGAGAAGTGCTGGAGCTGGTGGTGGCAGCGAGGCTTGGAGGTACAGTAGTACCTCTACTTACGAACGCCCCTACTTACGAATTTTTCGAGATACGACCAGCTCCGGCCCCAAAATTTGCCTCTACTTACGAACTTGCCTCTACTTACGAACCGGATCCGCGGCCATTTGCCCTGCTGCCATGCGGTCACGGCTTTCTGTGGGCGAGATCGCGGTAGCAAGGAGACGTTCGGTGCGGCTTGTGGTGTGTTTTGTGGTGTTTGGAAGGCTTTTATGGTGTTTGGAAGGC